GAGAACTGAGACGGGGTGGGCTTACTGCAGCTTGGTTTCTGTAAGCCCTACTTTATGAACTCTTCCAACAGGGCCTCTTAACTTGATTCACACATCTGTGGACCAGAATCAGACACTCATTTACATAAGACTCCAAAACATCAGGGGACTCATGATAAGTACTTCCAAGAAGTACCTACTAATGTAAAAGTAACCATTAAAATCTTAGAAATATAATTGAGAACTAGGCCAAATATAACACAGAGAACAGAGAATATAGAAAACGTTTCCATCCAACTGACATAAGAAAGAGCAGAAAAGAATAAGTGCAAATGGCTGGTGTATAGAAGCCACAAAATAAGATGGAAAAATACGTACAGTCATACTTATAATGAAAATGTATGCAACTATATTTACTTTACCTATTAAAAGACAGGAACTAACAAATTAGATTTTTAAACAATGCAGCTGTAGATATAAAAGAATGTAAAGTAACAGAACAAGCTATGAGTAAGAAAATGCTAACCAAATGAAAGTAGTTCTAAAATGTTAACATCAGACAAATGATTTTTAAGGTAAAACAAAAGAATACAAAACACATTAGCACGGATTAGAAGATACACTACATAATGATAAAAGGAGAGATAATACACCAAGTATATACAATAATCATCAACTTGTAAACGCTTAACAATATAGCATCAAAATAAAGAACTAAACTGTCAAAATCGTAAAGAGTAATGTCCAAGATAACTAATGGGAGATTTCAGTATACATCTTTTACGATCCAATACCTAGCAGAGAAAAACGCAGTAAGTATAGAGATTTGATCAACAAAATGCACAAGCTTGAATATGTGTGTGTGTGTACGTACACATGCATTTGTCCATGTTTCATTACCAAAGAGTACATATTATTGAGTACACAAGTACGTAAAACTTTTAAACACAACTGCACAAAATTTTCCATATACTAAATGATATATAGTGTTATATTCATAGATTTTGAGGAATCACTATTATCCAGATGATAGTCTTTGACTTCTGTATAATTTAATTAGAAATCAGCAATATTCAGTTCTTTCATGTGTTGGGAGGAAAAACTTGTCCTCTACCAACTTAAATTTGTGGTTGGGGCCCTGCTAATTAACTGACAAAATTCAGATTAACCAGAAAAGTTCACTGTTCGTGCATGCAGAAGTACTCTATAGGGAGTAGCACACCAAACAGTTAGGGGTAGGTTTATATACCAGCTTATTAAGAGGGAGGAGGCATTTAAGGCTTGAAAAGATGAGGGGCGCCTGGGTGGCTCAGATGGTTGAGCGTCTGCCTTCGGCTCAGGTCATGATCCTAGGGTTCTGGGATCAAGTCCCGCATCAGGCTCCCTGCTAGGTGGGGAGCCTGCTTCTCCCTCTGCCTCTGCCTCTCTCTCTCTGACTCTCATGAATAAATAAATAAAACATTTAAAAAAAAAGGCTTGAAAAGATGAAAGATTCTGATGATGTTTCTTTACACATTTGTTTTTGGAATTCTGATGCCCAAGGTCCGTTGCATCCCTGATTGGAGATCTCTCTGGAGTAGAGGGGCTGGGGTTTGTGACAGATGACTCTTATCAATCTTTGTTATGTCATATAGGAAAAGTTCATAAAAGATTTTTTTTTTTTGCATCTTTAACTCAGATGTTTCTACCTTGAAGTAATCTTTACACCATTCCTAGGTTGCTGGGTGCTTCATTCTTCATTTCCCCCATGTGAAGCTTCTTGGAAAGAAGCTGGGTTGAATGCTCTGGAGAGAAGAACTGAGCCTAGACGTTATGAAGTAAGGGATCTATGAAAGGAGAGAAGAACATAGATTAAACTGTTGGAGAAATAAAGAAAATCAACCACTAATGGTTGGAGCAGACTATAAGCTTGGTTTATGAGTCTACAGTGCAACCAGTCGAGAAGATTTTAAACATTGGGTTTGAAGTATTTTTAGGTGGTAGAGTGAGAATATCAGTGTCAATCCAATAGATTTCCTGGTTTGAAGGTTGAATGTCTCTGGTGATGGCATGGACATCAGTGCCACTGTCATGGTTATTTCCTGGAGCAGAGCATGAAAGAATGAAAGCATCAGTCCCAGTGAATTTCCTAAGTAGTCCCTACAGCAGCAGCTCCAGGCACAAAGGTTGCCCATCCCTGATCTGTTGTGGTGATGAGTTCTGTGAAGTTCATATCAAGTCATTCAGCTTCACCTTGAAGGTCTTCTTTAGATCCTGGTGGAAGGGGCAGCTACAAGACAACCTAGAGTTGTCTGGGTTAGTCAGATTTTAGTTCTCAGTGGTATCCAGTCAGGAGGGTGGGAGAAAAACTGGAAATGTTAATTTAGAGGGTGTAGCCAGATATTGAAGGAAACTAGAAGAATCGAGAATTTGGTAAGGACTGACCAAATGTGTAAGATGGCAGGATCCTGTCCAGTTTACAGATAGACAGTAAAACCTCAGACTGTCATCAGGACTAGATTCTGATAATCTACAAAAGTGGGATGTAGTTTCCCATTGAAACATAAACTTTTTTTTCCATAATAATTCCCATTTTAATAAAAAGTAAAGTAAGATTGGTCTTGTTTATAAAGTAAGTCTGCTCACATTACATTTGGCTTGATTATTTAAGTGCTGCAAGAATGGTAATTGACCACATAGGCCTTTTAAAAAGTTACTTTGCTGGAATTTTTATAAGGAGTCTCAGATTGGACTTTAAAAGCCTCTCCAGCTAGGAAACCAAGCCAAAAACCTGTCATTAGATTTTACCTGCAGTATAGATTTAAATGAATTCCTCTGTTCTCAAGGTCCCCCAAATATCCTGATTCCTGGGCCAAGAAGTGACCTTCCTTATTGACCTATAAGGCTGGGAACCCTATAAGCCAGATACCAGGCTATTTTTTCCCAAGAGGGCTTTGTAAGCATTGGCTCCATAAAGTCAACCTTAGTTCCTTTAAATTGTCTGATCATATGTGACTTATGCATCATTTAAAAAATATGACATTCTGGTCAAAGCCTTGGTTATGTAACCAATGTTTCCAATTATGTCCTGTAGCAAGGAGGACAGATTCTTATCAAATTTATACAAATAACTATATTGCCACAAAAATAAGAATACCTAATGAGAGTTTTTAAATTCTGGAGGGATCAGGCAGGGAGAAAAAGATAAATGTTTAAATGTTTCATTTCTGCTTATAAAAGTATAGTTTACAAAAATTTTTGTAAATTGTAGATAGCTTAAGAGAAAAGAGAAAGGGGTTCTTTTAAATCCAGCAACAATATTCCAAACAAAAGCCATAATCATCCTTTATCAGTTCATTCAGTCTCATGTAATTAATTCTTGTTCTGCTTGATCTTGGATTAGCAGTTTCATGAATCTATCAGCTTCTTCACTAGAGTTTTGGAAATCCTGACTTAGTTCAATGGCACGACTTCAAAGTTGCTTTAGCAATGCGATTAGAAGTCTGTACCCTAAAGTACCTGGCATAGTCCTTTTTCATGGGTCTTTGAGAAAGTTCCTTTTCATCGAAGATAAGCACTCTGGCCCATAGCTGATTGCCACAGCGCTTTCAGGAAAGCATCAGAGTAAAACAATGACTCTGTGGCTGACAGAAGACTTAAAAAAGCTGTAGTCAAAGATCTGATGAGAGTTCGTTATGAAAGTAATGCAGTTGATGAAGGCGTTTGTTTTTTTTTTTTCTGTGACATACAATATTCTGAAAATAAAAACTGGAGATATGACTGATGACATGTACTATTGTTTTCTAATATCAGTCAAAAGTACCAGGACATATCATGGACAGCTCAGAGGGTACTGACAGATTTTTAGGAACTTCATACAATTTCTGAATACTTCATACAATTTCTGAAGTATTAATAGTATTTACCTGTAAAGTATACTCTAGGGAAGGTTAAGCATCTCTTCTTTTTTGACAATGCTTTTCATGCAATTCAACATATCTAATTAATTTTTAACATCTCTCTTTTTACAAGGTGAAAGAACAAATCATTTGAGATTTTCCAGGGACGCTCTGAGAAATTTCAAAGTCAGTTCAAGATCAAGATTTTATTTAGGATTTGACTTTGAGAAGGCAAAATATGTATCAAAGATGTCAAAATGTCAAAAGGTTTGAACACTTGATTAGGTAGGATTACAGGTCACTATGAAAAAATACTTAGTTATCTATTCAACAATGTGACAATGAAAGATTGTAAATGTAATTAAAGGAAGTGACATGATTATAGCAAAGAGCTTAGCTTTTTCAATTGTGAGAAGACTCAGTTCTCTTAAATAGTCAAGAACATGATTTAGGCAACACAGGAACTTATTCTGGTAGACACAGAATCTTTGTTTTTTAGGCAGATTACTTAAAAGGTAAAGAAAAACCTTTGGTAATCCCTTACCAAGAGCAGACCAATAGCTCCCCAAAATAATAGAAATAGAAATAATAGAAAGAGAAAACCAGATTCTAGTTTTGCATTCAGGTACTATTAATACTATAGCTCATTAAAAACAAAACAAAACAACAAAACCAACAACCTTATAAATAAACCTATCCAACCTTAGCCAGCTTTGACCATGAAGCATAAAATTTTTTTTCTGCAAACCTTTTACAACTTCATATATCCAATCAGGTTTTATCCTATTCTTTTCTTCTTTTTCATTGTGGAACAACCAGTCATTTTACTTTAGGACAAAATTACTCTTATTTTTCCTTTAGCAATAACACATCTTAAATTCCTTGTCTACTTTTAATATAAAGTTGTTTCTCTTCATCCTTATTACTTATAGTATTTTCATCTACTAATTTTTAGTATCATTAGTAACTGTTGTGGAGCCCCCTCAAATGCATATATTGAAACCCTAACTCTCAATGTGAATGTATTTGGAGATAGGGTCATAAAGGAGGTTATTCAGGTTAAATGGGGTTATTAAGGTGAGACCCTAATCTTACAGAACCAAGTCCTTCTAAGAAGAGGAAGAGCTACCAGAGACCTCTCTGTGCGTGCACACAGAGGAAAGGCTATATGAAGACTGTGAGAAGGCAGCTGTCTGTAAGTCAGGAAGAGCTTTCTCACCAGAAACTAGCCTTGCTGGCACCTTGATGTTGGATTTCCAGCCTCAAGAACTGTGACAAAATAATTGTTGCTTGAACTGCCCAGTCTGTGGTTTCTTGTTATGACAGCCTGGATGACTAAGGTAAGACTCTTTTACAGAGAAAACTAGAAGTAGATAATTATGAATTATATGTCATGTACCAGCATTTTGTAGCAGATTAGCAAAATTTATGAATATACCATCTCACAATTTTAAAGATATATGCTTCTTAATAGTACAAGTTCTCAATGGCAAAAAAGATTATGTTTATTTATAGACTATATCTTTAACCTTTCTGTACCATTTAAAAGTAAGAAGCCAAAGTATATATATACTCTAACTTATGCGTAATAATGAATGTGTCAGCATTTGATCTTATTTAGGAATAATATATCTATTTAATGAATATCTATTACTTAACTTAGCATCTTTAGCAAAAAGATGATAGTAACTATCTTTAGGCAGACATTATAAAATGTCATTATTATTGAAATAAAATTTTCAAAATAATGACTCAATTTGATTAAAATCAAATTGATTATTTTTATAATTTGAAATATTTAGTAGATACAATATTAGCTTATTTGACTAGCAAACCCAGGTAAAATAAAATTTATGCTTGTATTGTACTTAATGCTGATAAATGAGAAGACATAAACATTTTTATTAAACCAACAATAATATTATACTAGTCTTATTTACCAGAGATTTACCCAAATCACACACATCTGAAAAACATTTGGGTTAGTTCCTGTACTTCTGGGAGATTTAGGGATATTTAATTTCTGTAAGAGCTTATTTTTCTCTAAGCCAATTAGAATAGAGCTCTTTTAAGGGATTTTATAAATTAATTTGGTAATACCTCCAGAGGTAGGAAAAAATATAACAAACATAAACATAAAGATAGATGCAAATAGAGCTCTTGGGGCTTTCACTCTAAAATTTTAGTCATGAGTTAGGCATACACGGAAATGCAAAATTCACTAGTTTATGTAAGAGTTGGTTCATGTCTTTGCCCCACTTTGTATTTTTATCCTAATTGTGTTTCTGGCAGATGGAAGAAGTTGTTATATGTTCAATATGAGAGCAAAAGCTTTCTACCAATATTTACAGAGAAGATTTTTTAAAGATTTTCTTTTGCCCTGACATATCTTATGGAGGCTGTAGACAAAAATTTGGGTGAAGAATTGGAGAGACATCACGCAGCCATCTGTGTGTCTCCAGATTTATCTGAATGGCTAAAATATTCAGTCTGTTCCAATCAGCCTCCTTTTCCTCCTTATCAACCTCAGATGGTTGCTTTTGGGGGTTCTTTGAGAACCTCTGATGGGGGTAAGGAGCCTAAAGTTTGAATAATTTCTGCTTTTTAATTTTGTAAAGGGAGTATTTTAGGCTAACTATGATATTTTTTATGTTCATTTCAATTTGGTCTTCTTATAGGTATCATTTGTTCAGGATGAAAGCTCTCTAAAAATCTTTTAAATATGAAAAGTTTTTCTAAATCAAAGAATCCCTCATCTAGCCATTGGTGTTTAGGATCTGCCTAGGTATCCCCATTCCAAATGTGACTCACATTAATAAGTGGTTTTATGGCTTAGTCATGAGTGCAGCAGGCATCTCTGAAGAGGGTGCATAAGATGCAACTCCCATAATTCAAAATCACTCCCAACTATAGCTGAAAAGAAGGAAACCAAGTTTCCATTGGTGGAAGTTGCCATTGGCAGACAGAATGGTTAGTTCCAACTCTCCCACAATCAAGGCACCTCTAGTCACAGAACTGCTCAGCTGTGATACCAGCAAGGCAATACTGAGATGGGAAGTCTCAGCACTATAAGGGCAATGGGGAAAGAGATGACAAGGGTCCTTACGGTCTGAGACCCTTTAGTATTTAGACCTAGATGGCCTTCCCAAGACATGGCAATGGTTGGCCGAGAATTTTGCTTGTGCACATCCTATCTCAGGCCCCAACCTAATGGCTGGCCACCTCTGAGCACAGACCTGACACTTTGTACCCACTGGCAGGCAGAAAATCAGAGAGTGTGCTCTCTCTGGTTCCCAGCCAAGCTCTCAGGACACAAAAGTGAGACTGAAGGAGAAACACATCTGGTTTTATTGGTGACCAACTAAATTTGTCCCAAGCAGACATTAGTCTGGTGAGAACTGCAAAGTCACCAGTCTGTGTGAGGCTGGCTTGAATAACAGGCTTATGGGACCTACACCTGTGTTCTATCCTATGATTCTCGTTCTTATGACAAGCAACATTTTTAGATGGCACAACACAAAACAGTAGCACAAAAGACAGTGACAAACAGAACACAATGGCTATCCTGAGAGATCCAAACCAAGAGTCCCAATACCCAGAGAACTAGATTAGTTTTAACCAAAATGTTTTCTCCTATAAAACTAAATTTTGGAAAATTCCTTTTTGAAAAGATGAGAGGCTCTTACCACCTTTGCCCAACTGGACCCCAAACAGAGACCTGGGATCTGACTGGTAAGAAAGCTTATTTTTGTCCAGCTTGGTCAGAGATCCCTAGAGCCATCCCATCCTTGCTGCAGAAACTACTGGGAGGAAAATCTTTTCCTCTACCAACTTAGGTCAAGTGTTTGAGGGCCTGCAAATTAACTGACAACAGAAAGGTTAATAGGAGAAAAATTTATTACTCATACATGTAGGAGTATTCTGTAGGGAGTAGCTCTCTGAACAGCTAGGGATAAGGATTTTTATACCAACTTAATAAAGGACAAGGGGTTAGGGCTTCAAAGGATGGAAGGTTCTGATGTGGTTTGTTTACATAAATTTGCTTTGAAATGTCCCAGAGCCCAAGCTCAGTCTCCCTGATTGGAGACTTCCCTGGAGTGGTGTTTGTGGGATGGGATGGAGGTAGCAGATGACTCTTTTAAATCTCTGCTTGAGTTGCACAGTGAAAGTTCAGATAAGGTTTCATTCTGTCTCTGTAGCTCAGATATTTTCAGTTTGATGTAATCTTTATACCATTCTGGCTGGTTGTTGGTCCCTTCACATGCAACCCTGGAGAGGTTCAACATTTAGCATTTAGAGTGAAGGCAAGGAATGCACAGGGGAGATGTGTGGGGCAGGATGCAGAGAGTTATATGAAAGACTGTACGTAAAGTTGGTGAAATCCCCAGGCCCCCTCCTCCAAATTGCAGGGCTGCACAGATAGTCCTGCTCAACTCCCACTCAGCCCACAATTGTCTGCTTTCCCAGGCAGGAGATTAGGATACTTTTCTGGAAAAAAAAAAAATGGCTCTAGAAATCAGATTTTTATACATTGACATCTAAGAGCTTCTCAAAAAAAAAAAAAAAAAATCACCCCTAATCACCTGCCGGTGAGCCCAGCAATTATAAGTCCTTCCTATCATTCATAGCTTCCAATCAACTTCTGGTGCCTCATGCTTCAAAATAGTCTGATAACCTGATGCTTGAGAGAGTGTAACACATATAGGAGAAAGGCTAAAAAAAGAGCTAAGGGGACACAGAGGAAACTAATATTTCATAAAAAAATCTAAGAAGAAAAAAATCTGTAATTCAGTTCTTTACATAGGGGGCTGACATCCAAGTTATTTATAGTTACAAACTATTACAAACAGTTAAATGTCAATCAACATGATGTTGGTTAAATTAATTCTGATATATTATTCTGATAAGTCCATATACTGGAAAAAAACAAAAGGGTTAAAGTAATTCTATATTTTTCAAAATGAAAAAAAAATCATACCATGTTATTTGCTAACTTAAAAAAATACTTGCTGCACAATTTAAACAATAGTAAGTAAATGTAATCCCATTTATGCAAAAATGTTTATGCACTCCTAAAAAGTATTGTGTATGAATACATCAGATTGTTAGCAGTGGTTGTATCCGGGAGCATCTTGGGGGCACTTTTGACCTTCTATATTTATCCATTGTTGAGGCTTTTTTACCAGTAGCATTTATAGCTTTCATAGATAAGAAAGATTAATTTTTTTTTTAAACTGGGGACACCTGCAGGATAACCAAGTGGCTGACTGTACTTAGCTACATGTACTTGGGAGTCAAGAATGATACTGTTTTACTAAAACAGTCCCCAGCATGAGTTAACCTGAAATAAAAACTCATCTTAACCAAAACTATTCTGCTTGTTAACTATGGTTCAGTAATATAATGTGAAGTTCTGAAGTCACATTAACATTTCTTATGATGTTATCAGAAAAATTTCTTGGTGACAATCTGGATTGCAGATAGTTTCCTGGAAACTTTGTTTAGTCAAATGCAATTTCCTTGTGATGCATAAAATGTTTTCTGTGCCTTTCCATGTTCACTGGTGCTGCTGGCTTTGGGTTTCTCTGAAAGTACAGATTTCTCTGGAGGACTTATTTCTTTGTAGGAATCAGGAAGACCCTGAGGGGAGTGTGGCAGATTCCTGGGATTTGGGGCTGGGCTGGATTGGGCTGGGCTGTCACTTACATTGCCCAGGAGCAGATATAGCCTAAGTCACTGTCAAGGAGGGGAGCTACAGTTGGTACCCCAGATCCTGGCTGTGAGAAAGGAGGCTAGAAATCAGAATTCTAAAACCGCTTTGTGGCTTCCAAGGTCCTGAGGAAAAAATAAAAACTCTTCAGCCTGAAAGGCCCTGTCTACCCTACCAAGCCTCTCCTCATTTGAGCCAATTTGGCCTTCTTTCAGATCCTCTGGAGGCCAAACCTTTTCACCTTTAGAGCCTCTGCTCGTTCTGTTTCTTCTGACTGAACAGCACCTGGGGGCTCTTCGATGACTGGCTTCTCCTCATCCTTTCAGGTCACAATGTCATCTCCTCAATGAGGCTTTTCCTAATTAATAAATGTTAGTAAGCTTCCCCATCTGTATTTCAGCTCCCCGATCGCTTCCAGCTTAGCACTTCACATTTTGTATTTATTCAGGTGCTTTTACTTTCTCTCTCTTCTCTATTTCAATCGTATCAACGCAAAGTGAATATGGACTTTCTTTCTGTACCACCTGCAGCTGAAACCATCAGTGCAGCACCCATGTCCCCTCTCCTTTACTACCGCACACTTGGCAGGTCTCCCAATGCCAGCATTTGCATTTCTTTGCCTGAAGACTTACTTTGGCTTCTGGAAGCTGATTTTGCCTACCTGAGCTTCCACCTAAAATGGTAGAGGAAATAGCCTTTAAATAATCACTGAGAGGAATTAGTATATAAATGCCCAAGCTCTGTCACCCATTTGGGGCTCTGGTTATCTGAAGCATTGGCTGGCTCCATAATGCATTTTTTTTTTTTATTGGCTAACTCTTTTTCCCTGTCTCACTTCACTACTTCCTTACCAGTGTTTTCTGCATCTCCCAAATAACTACTGATACTCAAATCCTTGTGTGGGGCAATGCTTCTTGCACACGTAGTATTTGTTGGATGGATGGATGGATGGATGGATGGATGGGTGGGTGAGTGGGTGGATAGATGGATAATAGATGAAGGGTAGGTTGTGGAATGGAATTCAAGGCTGGATAAGGTATAAGATTTCAAACTAGGAAAAAACAAAGGCATGGTGAGCTCATTCTAACTAGAGCTGGTTGGGAGTCATGAAAGCCCACATAAAGATGTAGGTATAGGCAGAATATCTGATATGGAATTTTTGAAAAGTAAGGTTTTCTTTAGGCCACTACCCAATTCTTGATGACATTATGGATACCCGACTTATGTGCAGTTTTTATATTTATTGCTTTAGTACAGTATTTACTTAAAGCATTAAAATGAACTATGCAAGCTCATGAATTTTGTTCAATGTAGGTGAAGTTAATAGTTCAAACAGTCCCCTTTTAGAAATATCTCTGGAAGTGAGAATTGGGCTATAAGTGAAGTCAGATGGTGAGATTTGGTTAGAACCACAGAAAGAAGTGATACCAGAAAGAGACCGCAGCTGTACAGGGTGGGATAACTGATTCCAGTGTGGGCAGAACTGTTAGATGTGCTTATCAGTATCATTATTGTGCTGCTGGACAAGTTCCCAGCATTAGCTAGGGGCTGACTAGAACTCCTGAATCAGAAATCATTTTGATTTTCAGCAGATTATGAGCATGGAGACTTAGCTAGATGGTGAGTTTTCTGAAGGCAAGAACATCAAAGCCTGACCCCAGTGAGGTCAGCACATGGAATTCAGATGACTTTGAATGCATGAAAAGTCTTAGTGTGGTTGGGACAACTTGCTTTTATAGTTGGTATTGTTTTCATATATAAAACAGTTGATATGGAGTAGTAAATCATTCATCACTAAGTAAAGCATTCCTCAAATTAAAAAAGATCTTAGGGGTGCCTGGGTGCTCAGTTGGTTAAGCGACTCATTCTTGGTTTTGGCTCAGGTCATGATCTCAGGATTGTGAGATTGAGCTCCGAGTTGGGCTCCATGCTCTGCGGAGTCTGCTTAAGATTCTGTTCCTTTCCCCTTCCCTCCCTCTGTGCACTCCCACATGTGTGTGTTCTCTTTCCTCTCTCTCAAATAAGTAAATAAAATCTTAAAAAAAATTTTTTTTTAACTCTGACATTCCATGCTGTCAGTGTTATCTAGCTCCACACATTTAAAAATTAATGTGTTTAAAATCCTGTAAATTTATATAAACTTTCTGTGAGGAAATATTAATATAATAGTGCCAGTTGAAAAACATTTGTGCTTAAACAAGCATTATGTGTGAAACTGAATTACACATGCTGATGGAAAATATAGTTCAGAAATAATTTCCTGGAAACATTTAACTTCTTTTGATAAATTGGATTGCCTTTTCTTCATGGATGTTAAGAATCGTACAATTGGGGGCGCCTGGGTGGCTCAGTCAGTTAAGCTTCTGCCTTTGGCTCAGGTCATGATCCTGGAGTCCCGGGATCAAGCATCGGATTCCCTGCTCATCAAGGAGTCTACTTCTCCCTCTCCCTCTGTTGCTCCCCCTGTTTGTGCTCTCTCTTTCCTCTCTCAAGTGTATAAATAAAATCTTAAAAAAAAAAAAAGAAAAAAGAAGAATCATGCAATTGTTTCTTTTTTTAATTTTAGCTTCCAAGGAGCTCAGAACTTAATTCACAGCTCAGTTTTTCTAAGCATAAGGTAGCTTATGACATTTATATTTATCTTCTAAATGTCTCCTTGTTTTTAAAATTTATTCTGATTATTCTTTTTCCTGGGCCTAATTTTTTTTTTATATTGACTGTATTTTTCTCTCTTACTTTATGTATTTATGTAAGTCACCACCAGCTTTTGTGGAAAATGGAAGAATAAATGATTCATGTATAAAACACAAAGAAACAAGCTACTTTTATCACATTACTACTCTTTTTTTTTTTTTTCCCAAGGCCAAATGTTTGTGAAGAACAGCAGTTGAATGTGGTGAAACTCCCACACCTGTGTGTGCAGGTATTCACGCACATTGTCAGATCTGGAGGCAGGGCTGTGCCGGCCTCAGAGGATATGTGGGTGATGAAAGAAGGTAAGGGTGCTTCCACTTTCCTTTTGATTACTAAAAATCAAAACCTAAAGGTTCAACTGCATCTAAAGTTTTCATCCAGTAAGTTTTAGAAAATAATTATATAATGAAGTAAATGAGCATAAAATATACCCACCAGGAACTTTCAGAGTTATTATATACTTTCCTTCAGAGACAAGATATATCATTACTTTACTTTAGGCCTCATTTATGTGTGAGTTATTTTGGGTTAGATGCCACTAATTTTACCTCATGACATGATAGACTGTTGAAAGCTAAAGATCAGAGGACTGAGAAACAAGGAATATTGTGTTGGTTTGCTAAATTTAGCACGACTTGGATCCAGGGCATCCTAGGTTGTGAACCACTCTCTGACCTGCCCTTGGTTCTCTTGTAACACTTTGAAACCTAGAGCTTCTTTAACTTTATTATGGCTTTTGAATTAGGATTAGCTCAGCAGGCTGGAAGAAGAGAGAAAAAGCCAGTACAGTGCTTTCTGAGTCAAGCCTTCATATGGACTTTTTTAAATCAAAGTGTTATAATAGTTTTACAAAACATCTGAGTGCCTCTTAGTGCAAATAGTTGCTCATGGATTAAGTTTTATGTAAATGAATCAACTGGGTCTGAATTGAAGATATTTAAAGTTAAAAAATATGGTTTAAGGTTAATGAATTTATCACGTCATCTCTATCACTATCATTATTATTACTATTGTCAAGGAAAGTTGGGGACATTTATAAATACCCGGATTTGTCACTGTATAGAAATAGCAGAACACTGGTAATATAGGACTAAATAAAATAAGACTATAATTGTGAATATGTACATATATATAGTGTGTGTGTGTTTAACCTTCAGATAGTCTTTTTTTTTTTTGGTCTGCACTCAGAAACTTTTAAGTTTAAATCAGAAAACTTCCCCTGGTTCTTACTAGCTGTTTGGCCCTAGGCAAAGTTCTTACATTTCTTTGTGCCTTAGTCTGTAAAATTACAAAAATAATACCATGCATGGAACTATGAGGATTAACTGAAAACATATTTAATATATGTGGCACCATGCTTGGTACACAGTAGGTACTCAATATGTTTGTTCCTTAGAGTACTTGTTTTTGAAAATGGCTTTTCATTTAGATTTTCTGTTCTCCCCCATGGGGTTTAATCATTGCTGATATTAGATTGAACCAAAGAAAGTCTGCCACCACATAGACATTTAGGCTTGGGAAAACAAACACGAATAAGTAAAACATGTTTTATATTTTTATTCTCAAGAGCTTAGTAGTTTTCTATGTTTTTGTTGTTGTTGTTGTTGTTGTTGTTCAATAAATATTTATGACACTGGGTTTGGAGGTGAGGCAGTATTCAGAGAGGTTTGGCATTTTTGCCAAACTAATATCCCTCTTGTTTATATATATGTATACAAACCTGTATTTATATCCCTACTGCAGACATACACATATAAAAAAATGAGGTTACACTTCAAGATGGTGAATAGTTGTGTCAAAAAATGGCATGTCTGGTAAGTTCCATTTTTGGGAGAGGAGAAAGACATTGTCATGTTGGGGAAAGGAAGATTGGCGGGAGTGGAACTTGGAGTTGGCCTTGAATAATGATCACTTGGGCTGGGATATGAGGAGAGGTATGTGAAGGGAAGAAAACAGGTTAATACTTTGGGGATAAAGAATATATATCACATAGATTTGATGGGAAGAAAATTAGCCTGTTTAGAGATATCTGGTATTTTGGTTTATTGAGAGGTCACAGTACTGGAGAGTGTAATCTTTTTAACTTTGTGTTCATTATTGCCGTCTTAAGGAGCTTTCGTAAACTCTCTTTTTATTTTTTTATTTTAGTGATTGTCCCCTTCCCCCGTGAGTTTTAATACCACAGATATACTTTTATTTGTATACTGTGCTCCTTTATAGGACCAAAAAGCATTGTATTAGCTAAGATTTTTTTTCACCCCTCCCACCCAAGAACCAACTGTCATCCCTTTATGGGTGATGTTACCACTACTAAGAAAGCCTACTATACTGGGACCAATATCTGAGGGGACTTCCATGTTCAGTTGAAAAGTATGTACCTTATTATCTTCAGGATTTCCTTCTCTTCATCATTTTGGATTTCATTCTTGACAGCTTGAGTGACCTTCGGATAGTTTATACCACAGGGCATGGGATCTTTTTTGATTTTCGTTACCCCTATACCTACTTTGAATCTTGGTTACATAATCTTGTTGCGTACACACACATATAGCATAAACAAATGATGTATTTGTGTGTGTGTATAAAGGGCTGGGTTTGGGTTGGTGGGGCAATGTTTTAATAGTCTCAAGATAGCAGCTTTGCCTTAAGAGGAAGCATTACTGAGCTAGATTCTTGTATTTCACAAGATCCGGAACTACACCGTCTACAGACAAGCATACAGCGTGCAGCCCATCTATAAGCGCTGCCCTGGTCGGAGCCGGTGGGACCATGAACCTGGCTGCCCACGCTGTAAGTTTTCATTCCTCCTGTCCAACACTCCGTCATGAGAAGTAATGGTTTCCCTGTTTGGGGTTCCAATCATACCATGTCTGTCAAGTTTTAGGCATCTTTAGAATCACCACAGATTCAGAACAACCCTTTGGACTGAAAATTCACACTTGACATGTGCAAAAAATGCACAAAAAGCTTTTCTGTTAAGCGTTCCTAATGATAGGTCAGCGCTCAGAACCCGTAGAACTGTTGCTTTATATTATGTCTCTTTATTGAAAAGACAGTTTATTTAAAGCCAGACAGGTTACACCTTGACTTTTATCTCCCTTTTCTGTTTGCCCCTCTCCATATCATCAAATTTGTAATCCACAGTTGATTTCAAAAGTCTGGAGGGAAATCACTGTACTAAATCTAAATGGGATTTCTCAACTTGTGCTTGTCATGATTAATTGCAGAACTCTGGAGGCAGTTTACTTTTTAAGATGAGGTATGCAGTCCTTTGCAAACCGCTGGTGAGGGCATTCCAGAACCTTTGGAGTATGTTTGACAGCACTCAAGCAGCCGCATAGTGGCATTATATAGTTCATTCCTGCCAGGAGAAATGGCTCTGTGTAGCTACTCCCTTCCCTATGTGTTTATGGTTATTGTGAAGTCACTTAAAATGCTTCAGTGTGTTGCAATCAATGCAGCACAACAGCACCACCATCCATCTCTCCTGCTATCCTGTACCCTAGGGAGTTTGTAGGCATCCTGCTTCCTCCCCCACTGTGCTTTCTGCTCTTGAAATATCTTAGTGAAGTTGCCGCAGGCTTCCCATGTTAAGCAGGCTCAGTGTTGAGTGGTGCACCAAGGGTCAGGTGTATTTGCATGCTCTGTGAGGCCACTGCAGCTGGCTGAGTTAAGCTCAGTGAAACCATCTGCCCACAATGTCATCTCAACTATGCTAGAAACCCCTGGAAATTAACGACTGAGATGACTGCTTTATATTATAGATGACACCTGTCACAGTCCTTTGCCTCTGGTGAGTATTAGTGTTTCTCACTTGGCTTTTAGATTGTTTTGGCCACATGATCATCTTATCCATGGCATTTCTTTAGACTAGTGCTACTCAAACTTGAAAGTGAATACAAATCACCTAGTATCCAGTTAAAATGTGGGTTCTGATTCAATAGGTCTGGGGTAGCGTCTAAGATTCTGCATTTGTATGAGCTTCTAGGAGATGTGGATGATACTACGTACAGAGTTCTACATGGCTTTAAACAGCAAGGCTTTAACTTATGATGAAAACATTGTGTGATCTTGCCTTGGAGGGGCTGGTGGGAATTTCTAGGTTGTATTTACTTTAGCGACTTACTAATGAGGATTTTCTTTTTCTCTTTCAACTCCATTCGTTCTCTCATACTCCTTGTCTACACTCGTTTTAGCTGTTTCTGCAGTGGGGACATGTTTCAGTGGAAGGAGGTGCTCAGACAATGAGGCCCAGCGGTGCCAGTGTTCAGAGGGTTTCCAAGGCCCCCACTGTCAATATGGTGAGTCGCCAACAAGACTATTTTATTATGATTTGGAGCTGTCTGCTTTGCTTTTAGGAGGCAGCCAATTTTGTCGATTCAGACTAATGGCAGGGTTATCCCTCCAGGGACGGGTGAGCATTTAAAATGAGCCACGAAGCAAAAACCTACAACCTACAGTGTACTCAGCATCACAAAATATGCTTTGCAGTTTAGTTTTAATTATTCACTATAAGAGTTCAAAGGGTGGCAGTAAGTACAAAATAGTCTGTTTTGTAAAGGAAATGGCAGCTTAATAAGAAAACCTCATTCTGACCTCAGGTGCTAAATCTTTAACAGAGCAATGGTTTGAAAGTGCCTGTACAGTATTTTTCTGTGAGGTGTCTTCGGTTTGTGGATGAACAAAGTGGGGATTAGCACAAATTCAATGTGATGCGATGTTTACTACTTTTGTGCCCTTTATTAAAAACAAAACAATACAAAAAACCCAACTTGCTTGATTCTCAAAGTATCAAAACTTGGTAACCTAATTTTCAAGGTTAGAGCTCTATCAGCTGTCAATTTTGGACATGTGCATTTGAAATATTTCTTGTACAGGAAATTTTCAAAATGGCCAATGATTTATCTTTTACTGCATCTGCCATGAGATCGGGTGCTTTCAAAAGGATTTGTTTTGACTTGATCATCTGATTCTAGTCTTCAGAGAATGTGACTGCATCTGCATTTATCTTTTCAGGGAAGAAAAAAACAAAATAAAATCTATCTTATAGAAGTTAAAGAAATAGGTGTAAAAATCTAACAAAAATATTGTAGTCATTATCTCTTGCTGGTTAGTTTGCCTTCCCTTATCCGTCACTTGAATCTTCGTGAATGAAATTGGAAGGTGGCTGAGAGCTCATCACTGGTACCCATTTGTCTCTTCTCTTGGCATAGGTTAGGGCTCACGTTTTCCATGGGTCACCTTGAAGCTATTCTTGCAAATGAATCCTGATACTCTTTTCTGGGCTGTTTGCTTTTCTTTTTCTTTTCTTCTTTTTTCAACAAATTTGTGAATTAACATGAAGCTGATTTTCAACCCCAATTTATTCTTTCACTATGGAACATTGATTCTGAAACAAGGGTTAGTGTACTCTTCGAGCTTTAGTGTATATCTTCAACTGTTCTCATCAGTTTTCAGAAGCTAACAGAAATTATACATTGATACATGATAAGTTATTTTCCTTTAAATAAATTGTTTCAATAACATCTGTAATGCTGGTTTCCTCATCTTGATCAATAGCTGTGATGAGCTAATTGCCCATGTCATCGATTCATTAAGAATTAAAGAAAATAATTCATTATTACTTTATTAATTCGTTTTGGCAGAACAAATCTTATAAAACATCAAGTCCCTGAGGAGAAAGGTAATTAAAGAGACATATGGTAATGATAATGACTTAGAAATTACACCTGGGTTAATTTATTGTTTGTTTTCTACATCAGTACTTGGATATTTTGATATTTTAATCTCTTAACTTTTATATACCAAAGTAATTAAAATGCTTTCTGAAATTCAAGTTAGATTTTTTTATTTTTCAATTTTGGGTTGATGAGAATACTAGATTATCTTAAATGTAGGCAGAATCAGTGTATTTTTTTCCCACGTGTTTGTTGATATACCAAAAAGTTCTGGAAGTCATGAGAGACCAACCATACAAAATACCTTTGCAAAGTCTGCATTTCATTTTTTGGCATTATTGTCCAATTGTGTTTATCTTTAGATTTTGACATGTTTCTTCTCTCACTGTAGAACTGCTATGTTGAATTTAAAAAGAAAAATGATGAATTCTGAGGGACATACCACCTGAAGTAAGAGTTCAGATATCTCCTACATGGTATCACAATTATCCAGCAAAATGAGGTATCACAAAGTATGTAAATGTAAAAGGGTTTCATGGAGGAATTTTGAAAACTTCCTAAGAAATCAAATATTTGGGTAAACAAATGGAGACCCCAATTAAGAAGGAATGACATTAACTGAGTCTTGAAGTGGATTAAACATGAAAATCAGCAAAGAATTTTTTTTAAAGGAATATAGTTGATAGGATATATACCCTATCAAACAGGTTGAATATAGTCTGGTGGTACTGACTATAACCTATCTCTTATTCAGCTGGATTTGCGTTCTGTTGGTTGAATACATAATCCTTCGTCTGCTTGACATTAGTCTTTCTCTCTATATATAGTATATATATCACAGTGAAAAGAACTTTAATGTTTTCAAATTATATGAACAATTCAAATGATAAAAAATTAATTCAAATTTTGAAAAATATCAAATTATAAAACATTACCATATGTACAATAAAGTAAAAATGCAGTCTTATTGCCCTCAAGTTATTCTTTTATGTTTATTTATTAATATTCATACACATATATGCAATTTTACATAAAGAAGATTATATCCTATATACTGTTTGCCATGAATGTCCCTCTTTTTTTTTTTTTACCTTCTCCTTTCTTCTCCCTCTTCCCTTCCAGCTTCTTCTCTCCTCCCCAGTAACAACCTGTTGAATCTTCTTTTGTATCTTTCTCTGCACTCATATACTCATATACAAACAACTAAATAACATTTCATGGTATAGAGGTACCATACATTTTCAACCACCTGTTTGTTGATGGCCATTCATTTTGTTTCCAAGTTTTGGCACAATAATTGGTGCTTTTATTTCTGTGATACAGATTTCCAGAAATGGGATTGTTAGGGTCAACGAATATGTGTATTTTTTATTTTAATATATTTAAGGATCAAAATATTCATTTAAATTATTTGTAAAATGTTTTGTGGGCCATGGTAATGACTTTACCAACTTATTTGGTTGGGATGCATTAAAATCTAGATAAATGCTAATTATTTACTTATTTTTTGACATGTTAACAGAATAGGGAATCACTTGTATCTTCATCCCAAACCAGAGATATGATAAATTAAAGTTTCTAGGATCAGGGTTATTGTAAGCATGGATTGGTCTTAAGATAGGGTAATGTTGACTTTAGTAGAGATGTATGGGGAAAAAAAAGTCTAGAAAATGAACCAGACGGACTATTAAAAATGGAGAAAATAATCTAGTCCTGGAGAGAGAAGGGACATGCTAATAACTGAGAGAAATGCTTGAAGTTAATAATGATTCTAAAATTACTGATCTACTTAACTCATTTGAAAAATCTGCCTCTAATAAGGAAAAATGAAGAAAATGAATTTGGACAATTAGGAAGTAATGAAGAGCTTTCTAAAATAGCTTTGATTAAAGGAATCAAAGGAAATACTTTGAAGATTTGAACACATGCAAATCAGGCTAGATAGATGGTGGTGGAATTTTCTCTCTTTTTTTAATTCTATGGATCCAGGAAGAACAACTTGGAGTTTCATTTACTGATTAATATCACACACAAAGTCACACCTTTTCTCCTCATCACTTATTCCATCTTCCCTGTCTCTGGTCAGAAGTTAAGTTAAATTATAATGTGCCTAATGGTTGGATGCTAGGACTCTGAGCTCTTCTTGTCTCTTTTATTCATATATTAATTAATGAATTAATTAATTCTTCTAGTCAATCTTCCAATTAGTAAATTTTATATACCATGTTCTGTGTAAGATACTGCAGATACCAAAACAAATATGGTATCCTTAGTGTGGTGGGGAATAGAGACCAGGAAATCAGGGATTATAATGTAACTCACAAGTGCTATGATGGAGTATGATTCTGTCCTAAAAGAAGACAGGGGGAGGGTCCATCTATATCATGCCAGACAATGAGGGAAGTTTTCTCAGAAGAGTTGAAAATATAAAATACAACTGATTCTTAAAGATAAACAGAACAGTAATATGAAATTGGACATAGGATATGGAATATTTCCCAGAGACATGAAAAGCACAGCAAATTTAAGAAATAATAATAATAATACAAGTAGTTCTCTTGGCTGCAATAAGAGATGTGTGTGGGATGTGGCAAAACATGGGCTTTGTTTAGGTTTAGGGCAGCAGTTCCTTAGCTTTTCTTGGTCTAGCCAAACCAGCTATTTCAGAACTGTCTGCACAAGTGGCTAACTGATGGGGTTCTGCAGGGACTTTTCCTTCCCTAAATTTAGGTTCTGAGCAGGCAGGCCAGCAGTTGGGATTTCTTTTCTTTCTTTCTTTCTTTCTTTCTTTCTTTCTTTCTTTCTTTCTTTCTTTCTTTCTTTCTTTTTTTTTTTTTAAGATTTATTTATTTGTTTTTGAGGGAGGGAGGGGGAGAGAGAGAAAAAGAGCACATGTGCACAAGGAGTGGGGAGGGGCAAAGGAAGAGGGAGAGAGAGAATCTCAAGCAGACTCCCTGCTGGGCATGGAGCCCAGTGTGAGGCTGGATCCTCAGGACCCTGAGATCATGACCTGAGCCAAAATCAAGAGTCAGATGCTTAACCGATTGAGCCACCCAAGTGCCCCAAGCATTTGGGATTTCTTGAGCATACAACAGTGTTCGGTGTTTCTCTACTCCTATATCAGAGTTCCCAATGTCTCCATTACTTCAAAGTGTGAGGTTTATGCACTTTAAAGAGGAAGTGTTGCTGGAATGCTGTCTGGTGGCATGGAAGGCCCACAGAAGTTCTGGAGTTGAGGTTGGGTCTCATCACTGTCTTCTTTTCTTGAAGAAGTCATTTTGTATCCCTGAGCCTTAATGTCATCATTTGTAAAATAATAACTCACATTTTCCTGAACACCTTTCATATACCAGACACCATTCTAAACAATTTATATGGATTAAATTATTAATCCTTACAAGTTGATGATGTGAGTACTCTTATTTGCCCCATTTTTGTACCTGACGGAGGGATACCAACTTGTCCAAGTTCAAACAACTGGGAAGAAGGAGATAAGGGATCCATGTCCATGTGTTCTGGCTTCAGAGCCTGTAAGCTTAACTTTCAAGTCATGGTCCCTTTATAAAAATACTTGACGTAATGCCCTGTCTGCTAGGTTGTTCTTTGTGAGAGTCCCATGAGAT